GCTCGGGCCGGGGTCGGCGGGGAAGGGGTTGGGCATGGAGCCGTAGGCGGCTTGCTGGGCTTCGAGGGCTTGCGTGGCGATGCTCGACGTGCCGGGTTTGTCGACATACTGTTGGATAAGCGTGTGAGTGTGCTGAGACGAAGAGGAATATGGAGGGGCGGGAGAAGGGGATGCGGGCGGCGGGGATGCACGTGCCGACACGGTCCCCGTGCAAACGTCGTGACCGCGGGGCGCGTCGGGCGCGGTAACATGACATTTCGCAGAAATGCATTCAGCGACCATCACGGTCGGGCGCAAACATATCCAGAACACATGCTCCGGGAGAAGGAATAGAGGAAATGCTGACCTGCTGAAGGACGCTGGCTGATTCGTGGGGCGGCATGCGGGCGAGCATCTGCTCGATGGGCCCGTTGCCGTTGACGCCGGCAGAGTTGGTCAGGTGCGCGATCAGGTTCGCGACGTCCGACGCCGGGTTGTCCTGGCCGTTCTGCATCTGCGCTGTCTCTGTCGCCGACATTTGTACTCCTGGGGGTTTGATGGTGGTGACGAGCTCTTTGTGGGTGGTTACGCGGATTGGTAATATTCGACTGTGGCGTCTCAAAGCCAGTCGCTATCCTTGGGAGAGTATATTCTCAGGTGTTATGCCTCGTTAAAGGGGACGTAGGTACGGGGCTCGAATTCTGTGTCGAGGCGGGTCGGGCGGGGCGGTCAACGGGGTCACGGGCGGGGGCGAAAGTGTGATCGTGGTAATTTTGCCGTCTCAGACACCGATTGATAATATATCGCCCAGTCTTCCCATCACGTCATCACGCGCTCATAACCAACCACTCGTTCCTAGTCCCACACAGCCTGGCAACCACTATAGGCGCGCGTCGCATGCACTAAAATATTCTAGTCCGAACCAGAGAGCATTCCTAGAGCGCAAAAATACATAGACAAGAAATATGGAGTTCAGTCCCAATGCGTGAGGTGTAAGATAACTATCATCGCCCGCTGTCGCTCGAATCCTTCCCCCTCAACGCCGGACTGCTGAACCCCCTCTCGACTCTACTCTCCTCCGCCCCATTCTGCGCCGGCGGCATCGGTCGTCCCCTCGGCACGCCCAGCTCAACCTCAGGCCCGCCATCGTCATCCGCGACGAACACGTCGAGCTCGTCCGGTATATCCGCCCTGCTGCGCATGGCCCGCCGCGCGTGGAACGAGCGGCTGGCCGTGGCGTTGCTGAACAGAGGGAGCAGATACCGCTCGTCGATATCCTGGAACCATTTGCCTTCTTCGGCGCCGCTGCGTCGTGCGGGCGGCGTTGCTGTACCGGACGCTTGTCCCGCGTGGCTCGTGCTCGCCAGCGGTAACACCTCTCCGCCGTCCGAATCGTAACTGTCCGAGCTCGCCGCGCTGAACGCGCCCGCGGAGGGCGTGACGCCCTGCGTCGCCGTGTGGTGGTTGTAGCTGAACCCGCTGAAGTTGAGCGCGTTGCGCGGGCCGACGCTGTTGCTCCTGCTGTTCGCGCGGATGTACCACTGCGGCGGCACGTCGTCGTCGCTGTCCGTCCCGGCCTCGTCCTCCACGCCCGTTCTGATCCCCAGCACCTCCAGCATCCGCGCCGTCGTCCCGCCGAATACGACAACGGTGAGCACGACGACCACCAGCACCGTCTGCCTGAGCGTCTCCGCGTTCTCGCCCACGAAGCCCGCCGCGAGCGCCACGCCCACGGCGCCCCTCAGCCCGGCCCAGAACAGCATCATCTGGTAGCTGTGCGGCAGCTCGTCCTGGCGCTGGCCCCTCCCATGCCTCAATATAAAATTGATGATCTCGCTCAGCGGGAACACGGCGGCGTAGCGCGTGAACACGACGGCCACGGTCGTGATGGCGATGAGCAGCGGCTTGAAGTAGCTCGTCACTTTCGCGCTCGCGGGCGGGCTCGTGAAGAGCCCGAGCCCGAGGTAGATGAATATGAAGTTCTCCGAGAGGTGCGCGAGCGTGGAGAATATGTAGCGCGTCGCGCGCTGCGTGCGGCGGCTCATGGTGTGGTAGGCGTAGTGCTTGAGCGTGATGCCGCAGAAGAGGAGGGAGACGATGCCGGACATGCTCAGGCCGTTGGAGAAGAAGTAGGAGGTGTAGGCGACGAGCGCGACGAGGGAGGTCTCGATGGCGGGGTATTGCGAGAGGTGGGAGTGTTTGAGGACGAGGGACATTAGGAGGCCGAATGCGACGCCCAATGCCATTGAGACGGAGAAGGAGAGGAGGAAGATGCCGGTGCCTTTTGCGAAGGAGGCCATGTATATGTCTGTGCCGTGGAACGTCGAGAGTGTCCTGCCATTATCTGCATCAGTGTGCGCGTTCTAAACATGAACCTCAAAGGGAGATACGTACTCGTACATGACGATGGAAACCGCATCATTCAGCAGACTCTCGCCGAAGATGATAGTATACAACTTCGGATCGACCTTATACTGAGTAAATATACTCAGAATAGTAACCGGATCCGTAGCGCTGAGCGTCGTCCCGAAGATCAGACATTCCAGTAACGACAAGTCGAGGCCTTCGAGCCCAAGGAAGCTCCAGACGTATACGAGCACACTGTCCTGCGATGGTCAACGTCTATTCAGAAGAATGTGTAAGACGGAATACGGACCCGATGCCGACTGCGCTGATGAATGTGCCCGCGAAGGCGAAGACGAGGATGGAGCCGAAGTTGCGGAAGAAGTTCTCTTGTTTGAGTTCGTAGCCCGAGTTGAGGATGATGGGTGGGAGGAGCAGGTTGAAGAAGAGCGTGTGTTTGAATGTCTGTGGACCATATATTAGCCCGGTCCAACCAAATATAAGGCGCTATGGAGGATGCGAGCCCGTCGCCGTCGCCAACATCGCACTATACAACCCGCACATCCATATGACGTCTGCACCAAAGAGCACTCACCAACATCTCCTTGATAAGATTGCCCGGCGCAAGCCTGATAACGAACCCGACAAACATGCCCGCAACAATCGACACCAGCGTCTCATGCACCGCGCGTATCCGCTTAATCTGCAGATAATAGCTCGTCCACAGCGACACGATGAGCAGCAAGCAGACGAGGAACAGCGACCACGAGCTGTAGAACTCTTCGAGCTCTACTGGCGCCGGCGTAGGGACCGGCGTCGGAGCCGAGGGGAGTGGATCCGCCATGGGCCGTGTGAATGGGAGTGGGAAGGGAGGGTGGGACGTGGGGGAGGAGGACGAGGACGGGGTGCTCTGGGGTGTGGGCGGTGGCTGCGCGACACGTGCGGGTTCCCAGCGCATGGGCGTTGCGACTTACTCTCGACGCCCATCATCAGCCCGCAGTTGGCGGTGACGCCGTCTTGCGCGTCTTCGACGCACTGGACGGACAAACAGTACATACAGACCTGACATACAGAGTCTTCTTGTCCATGCTTACCGTGGACTATGATCGCATGCCAAGATCCTCTTCGCCCTGTTGGACTATTTCCCGTACCTGCTCCAAACGTACTTGATGGACGCCTCGAACCCTTCCACAAGACCGACTTCCTTCAACCCTTACGCTCGCAGTATAGCACGAAGGCAAGAGTTATGACGTCTTGATATCCGCTCATCCACACAAGGCTGCCTGAGACATTCTGCTGCATCTGATGTGAGGCGGCCCTATGGCCGCTTATCGAGCGCAACAAGTACCGCGGCTATTGCTTGTGCAGGCCATGTGTACTTTTCAGGCGATGTCTGGTGACATGCTTGTCGTGGAGATCTCCACAGCTTCTGGCTCTCCGTCGGTGAGGATCGTCCTGCTTGTTGCTTGAGAACATATCATCAGCGAAGTCGAACTCTGCCGCGGGTCGCTGGGTCGGTCGAGGGGTCGCGGCGATGTCCGGAGAGCATTAGCATTTACACTAAGCTCGAATTCTCATTGACTTCGCGTAGGCTCTATACCACAACAACGCATGGGATGCATGCTTTGTTCTCCATGGGGCTACGGGGAGGTTAATTGACCTGGCATGGAAGCCTTTCATGGGCGGAGATGACAACCAGACGGCCATTCCGCACCGTCGTCTTCGCAGATCTTCTTCTTCGCATGTACCGGTCAGTCGCTGGTACGCCACTACGAGCCATACGAAAGCGCCATTGACTGACCGGCGTACAGTCTCTTGCAAGCTGACAGCCCAGATCCACGGCAGCCTCTAGTACGAACCAACCATCTCAACAATCCCCGAACCCGTGAGTAAACTTTAATACGTCCCTACTGCGACCGCGCCCAGTACGCGTCGGATCAGCGGCGTACTCTCACATCAGCTACATCATGCATCAGGCCCTTCTCCAAGCGAAGGGCCCAGCTGCATACAAAAGGAGCGCTCGGTGCTTCTCAGACGCACCTTCTTCTTCTGTCCTCCTTTGCGCCCCCTTCTCTTCTCTTCGTGCTTCCTTGCATCTTCTATTAGTGCTTCCCCACGGGGCATGTTTATAACCGAGTCGAGGGCTGGACGAGCGTGTGGCTGAGACCTTATGGCGCTTGACTGGAACGACCCCGTTTTGCAAGCACAGCAGTACCGTGCGTCCTTTCTTGAGATCTACTCGGGCGAGATTCGGCAAGGCTAACGGGGAGGAACGGGATAGTGGACTTCATCCAACTTCAACATGCGCTCGGCGGGGTATACATCTGGGAGCTGGTCATCGGCGCCGGATACGACTGGCGATTGCTCAGGCGGAAACAGCTGCATGCTGCGTCGTTGTGGGCGAAATGGGTACGTTACTTCATGCTTGATGTGGGTTCGGAGATGTCGGAATTGACGGGTGGATTGCGCAGGTTTATCTCGCTTGTCGGTACTGCGCGATGGCGGGGTTCATCACGATCTTTGCGGGGTTCAATGTGACATCGGAGGTGCGGCCGAGTATCCTGAGGCGGAGGTGCAGCCTGCTGACTTCGTCGTGTAGATCCAATGCAAGGCGCGTCCACTCAAAACCATATCCTAGTACGGGACGCTATGCTAATCGATACTCAATCAGATATGGATCATCTTCGTCTTTGTACGTGCAATGTTGTCCTCCACCCGGTGTGGCGTGTCCGCTGAACGCGCGGCGATAGATATGGGCTTTTCTAGCCATCGAGCTAGCGTCGATGCTTATCGCTATTCGAGTGTGGGCATTCCGCTGACATGCATCCTGGCGTACTTGTGCTGAATTCATGTCAGCATTGCGATATGGAACAAGTCGATTTATGCCGCCGGTCTCTGCGCCGTCGTCCTGGTTACTCAGCTGGCGTTCTTTGCGCATGGTGCGTACCTCTACACTCAACCTCTAGCCTCGCCGCACGAGCTGACTCCGCTTGTGCAGAACTCGCAGACGTACGCACTGGTGTCCTCCGCTGGTAAATGTGCTATCTTCTGACATTCGCTACAGGCAAACGCAACTTGGGAACCGACCGCACGCACCTGTGTCGTGCTCGACACACAAACAAGCCAGGCGAACGTTACCGTAACACTCCTTACCGACCTCTTCCTGCTGCTTGCGATGCTGGTGGGGCTGTTCAGGTGGCGTGAAGCGCGAGGATCGGGGTTGTGGAAGGTTATGTGGCACCAGGTGCGCGCAGTGCTTTCGTCGAGCCCGATAGTCTTACGAATGAGTCATCATGTCAGGGTCTCATCTGGCTCGCACTTGCTACCATTGCAGAAGTACCGACTGTGGTCTTTCTCTGGCTGAATTTGAATCGTGCGTCAGAGCTTCGCATACCGCGTACCCTGGCTAACATCTCATTCAACGAACAGAGGTCATGAACCTGGTACGCCTGCCCAACTCTACACTCGCTCTCATTGACTGATGCCTGCGTACAGATGTTCTTCACACCCGAAATGGTCATCCTCGTCATCGGCGCAACCAGGATGTACCGCGCGCTCTCAACACACTTCACGTCTGCATACGAGTGCGTTCCTCCTCCCCCTCCCTCCTCTTGCCTCTCCGACCACACTTTGTGGTACTGATGCTCAATCTGTGCAGTCCAAGCGTCGGCTACTCAACACGCAGCGAACTCCCAGACGGCACACCGATGCACCGTATGCCGGTGCGCTCAACGATCGCATTCCGCGAGGTCATACCTCTCGATGGGGATGCAGAGATCGATACGCGGAGATCGGACGAAGATCAGGATCAGGATCAAGACAAGGACAAAGACGACAAAGGTAAACGTGCTGATGAGCTACAAACTGCGGAGGACAGTCCTCCGCCTAGAGCACATTCGGAGCTGACTTATGCGCGAAGCGCATGAGGGAGGGGGTTGGGTGTGTGTATACGTGTAACCATTGGAGAGATGTGTATATTGTGGCGTATTGTACATGAGACGCGAATAATAGAGGTTCTGATGACGTTTGCTGTTGCGGCCGCTTTGGTGGTAGCGCGCTGGTGGGAAGACGTTGTACTATCAGATGTTTGGCGTTGGCAAGATCAGTCCGGACCACTGCAGACGGTCACATCCCACGAGCAAAGTACGGCAGCTGGATATCCGATGGCCTGGAGAGTACGCGGCTCGAGCCGCCACACCAGATACGCGCTCGGATCCAGATGCTTTCAAGATCTCTAGCTCGCATCCGGAAGAGTCGCGGAAGGAGTAGTATGCAAGGTATGCGTGGTCAGGGCGGCTACGCTTCCAAACAGTAGTTGATGTATGATGATGATGGTCAGAGGCGACAAGCCACAGGCGCGAGAATGGAGCACGCGGCGCGCTCGACGCGCGCGCGCGGCTTTCTGCGTCCGCCCACGACCGTGGCGTCTTCATTTGGAACTGGCATCCTCTCACCGTCAAAGACATATAAGGACACATGTATCTGGCTGTCAAACATGGCACTGTCAGCGCGCTCAAACGAACTCTGGAATGTCGGAGCTTAGAAGCTCTGTACCGCCCAAGGTGTACTGAGGCCGCGCTGTAGCCGTCATCTGGCCGATTCCAGCCGCTGGCCCGCAGTACCATCAGGACAAGTGTGCGTCAGATGCGTGGCCGTCTGAATGGGAACCCCACTTCATCATCGGCTTGGATAGACGCTGTGAACGATGGGTTCGACAGGCTTCCCTGCCATGAGCAGGCACGTCCAAGTCGTTGTTTGGTGAAGCGGGCGCAGTAGCCCCCTGGGTATACCAAGCCTGACGTGCCTCTCTCCATGATATTTACTGCTGAACGGGTGTCCCTCGCTCTGGCGACTGGGGGATAGTACGCTGAGAGTCTAAGCCGCGCTGGCGCCTCGAGGACTTTCATACAGCTCATGTGCTGACTCCGTGTACGCGAACCCCTCTATGTGCCTACGGCGGCATCGTGGATCCGGAGAAACGCACTGCATCATCCATCAGCTTCGCGAAGAGTATAAGAGCATGAAGGGTAGCTTCTGTGGACTGCTTTCCTTTTCTTCAGCGCGAGCCTTGGGCTCTTTAGTGCTGACTCCCGTCGGCCATGGCGATCAACTGGAACGATCCAGTTCTGTTGGCAGCACAGTACTGTACGTCGTTCGCATGCATCGCTTCAAGATCAGTCGCTGACTCTACTCGCAGTCGATTTCATCAAGTTGCAGCATGCCCTTGGTGGGGTTTACATCTGGGAGTTGGTCATGAGCGGATGGTACGACTTGCAACTATTGAAGAAACGACAACGACACGCCTCCGCTATCTGGGCCAAATGGGTACGTCAATATCTGTCTTCTGACTCTTTGTCACACGGTCTCATCGTCGCCAATAGGTCTATCTTGCATGTCGCTACTGCGCGCTAGGAGCCGTAGTCACTATATTTGCTGGTTTCAACGTCACGTTCGAGGTGAGTACAAAGCCCTCTGCATACCCTCTGCGAATCAGCGCTAACGCGGGCTTCTTTTTGACCACTTCTTCAGATCAATTGCAAAGTCCGTACGAAACGCTTCTTTCGCGTTCTCAGCTTCGCTCACAGTGAAACAGGTTTGGATCGTCTTCGTCTTCGTGGGTGGTTCTGGCCCCGTCTATGCGAAGCGTTTGAGGTCTAACGGGTAATCACAGCTATGGGCCTTTGCCGCCATACAACTCGCTTCTACCCTCATAGCGATACGCGTGTGCGTGCTTCTTAGTCTCACAACAGTCTCCCGCTGACATGCTGTCCAGAATCGCAATTTGGCACAACTCTTTGATCATGATGGGTCTATGCACGGCCGTTCTCGCTACGCAGTTAGCATTCTTCTTACATGGTGCGTCGGACGTAGAGCACCGCTGTACTGGTGCTGACTCGAGTTTCCTCCAGAGCTGTCGAAGGCAAGCTGTTCTAGCCCGCAGTACGCTGCTCTGCCTAACGTGGTGCACAGGCAAATGCGACTTGGGTACCAGCAGAGTCGACCTGTGTTGTTCTAGAGACGCAGACAAGCAGGGCGAACGTGACCGTGACCCTTCTCACCGACATCTTCCTCCTACTCGTCATGCTTGGCGGTTTATTTAGATGGCGAGAGGCTCGCTCTTCCGACGTCTGGAGGCTTCTGTGGAATCAAGTACGTCATAGTGGATCTACTTCTGGACTGAGCCATGAGTGCTGAATGCTCTCTACAGGGTCTCGTCTGGCTTGCCCTTGCGACCGTGGCTGAAGTCCCGACTGTTGTCTTCGTCTGGCTCAATCTCAACCGTGAGTCTATGTCTCAGTCTACTTCTGAATCGCGCTGATGGCTTGTCACAGAGGTCATGAATCTGGTAAGCTCCGGCGGTTTCCCAAGGCTTGAAGTAGCTGAAACGGCTCTGTCAGATCTTCTTCACGCCCGAGATGATCATCCTCGTGATTGGAGCAACCCGCATGTATCGCAGGCTCTCTATCCACTTCACGACGGTCTTCGAGTGAGTCTCCGTACTTTGCGCCCCGTACTTGATCTGACCTGAGATCTTATAGTCCGAGCACCGGATACAGTTCGACGACGCGTAGTCAACTGTCGAACAATCCAGAGATACCGATGCGACGCCTACGTGTGCCTGCTACCGAGATCGCCTTCCGCGAGGTTGTAACCCTGGAGGATCCTCTCCAAAAGGCAGAGAACAAATCGCCAAACGAGTGCCGTTCGGACTCGCGAAACGAGAACGCGAAGATGGGTATCTTTCCCGACGAGACTTCCCCTGAGCGACGGGTCTGAAGTAGTACGGGAAATCACTGCTTTTTGTGCAAGAATCAGCTCTTTCTCACAAGAACCTTGCGTGCTTACATCGAGCTATCTTATGAAGCCATCGAGTCCTGGCGACGCCCCGGGCGCACCCTGCTATGACAGGAAAGCTGGGTGACAACTTGGAAGCGGCTGCGCACACGTTGTATCATCTTCATTGAACGGGGGTTCGGACCGTGTGCCCGCGTCTGTGCTCGATTCTTCCGAATCTTCTCTTGGATCGAGACCAACAGGTGATGATAGGATGACTTGCCACGCTTCTGAAAGGTTGTCTGATCTAGCACCCGCCTCTTTGCATTCGCTACTGCGCTGGCCGCCATGCCAAGTCTTACCTGACACGCGTACTGGACTACGTAGCTGGCATGCATCATGACATCGGCCTGCGGAAGATCGACAGCGCTCGGTGACCCCAAAGCAAGATATTCCCAGTGCGACTATTGTTGAGAAGCCGCGTCCTGGCCCGTCGCGCACACGCGTCAGCTGTAGTAAGGGCTACTTTTCACTATCTTCTGCCATCTCTAGTGACAGATACGATGGCTGCCAGGTCACGTCCTGGCATACTGATCTTCAGAGTATTCGTGATTGAAGTGATAACAGATTTTGAAATCTCTCACGAGAAGATAGGTCATAGCAAGCTACGATGACGTGGCTCTTTCGGCTCATTTGAGGACGTTCAGAGTACGAATGATCCAGTGCCTACCTGTGACAATCATATGATAGTTGACCCTTAGGCAGTACACGCTGTTACTTCGGACAGGGCACATCATTCAGACGGAGGTTCCATTTCTATTCATCTACAACATGAAGTAACGATCATCTGCCAATGCTGTGCGCGCAGGGAAAGTACAAAAGTATCTTCTGGGGCGTACACCGACATGTCGAATGCTCGTTCTCCCGACCATGACTCACCGTTCGTCCCTCATTATCCGCGTGGCAATAACGACTCTATGCTCTGCGCGTGGCATCCTTGGCCAGAACTTTACTATTCCAACCCAGTGGAGCGTGAGCACTTCGATCTCCCTCGCAATCTGAGTTCAAGCCACTGATGCGTGCGTTCAGAACACGCAATCCAATGCAAGTCGTTCCGTTCGTCAGGCATTGTCCAACGGAGCCGCGCAAGAGCTTCGGGTTAGGAGCACTCAACAAGAGCTGGATACTCGTACGTATCGTAGCCTTACATGCGACCTTGGCTGGTCACCCACAATGCACAGAAAAGAATGCTATCACCAACTTAGCGAGTTTAGCACAGGCTTTAGCCACGCATGATCTGTTTAGTAACTCTTCGTCGTCGTCGGACAGTGTCGGTAATGTATTGCAGACATATGACCAGTCTATTGTGAGCATGAGGATTGTTCTATCACGTAGAGTTGGACTCAAAGTGGCGCAGACGTTCAACATAGATCTCGCGTGGGTTGACCGTATGAACCTGAGCTATACACGTGTCATTGATCCAAGATACATCGCAGCAACTTCGGTCTTGCCGAGTTGAGCGCAGCTCAAGCATATGGCGACGGTGACGATATACGCCCGGATTATACGATTTGGGATCGTTGGGGTGCTATCTACAACGATAGCTTCATAACCCCGACGATGGCCACAAGCAACACGTTTCCTCGTAATCTAAGCACTACGCCGGACTGCGGAAGTGAGGTATGCTACACTCTGCACATTGCCTCATTCTAACTCAAGTCTTTGGCAAGGGACACTCGGGGGAATGATCTTTGGTATAGTACGAGCCCGGCGCTTGGCACACGTCGTGCCCCCACTGACTTTGAAACTATTAGGATGATCGTTCCAGCCTAGATGTTTATACGCGTGCGCTCTCGTAAGTAACCAAACACTTCTGTCAATCAAGGCTGAACAAGCTTACGGACAGGGTATGGATATTGTACGCCGAGTAGCTCACCTTGCCTGGTCGAACATCTGAGCTATATATCACAGACTATCTTCACGACTGGCCGACTTGGACACTGTCAATCAAGCACAATATCTTCAAGCGGCGGAGCTCTCTATTCAGTTCATGACGAGTCATCTTCTGGATTTGACGGCCCAGGGTTCTGATATTGTTGCCCATACATTCAACGCTAGTGCATGCAAGCCATCTGTCGGCTCTTCTCAATCGAGGGACCTTGCGCCGCTCATCGAAGGAGTAAGCATCGTGGCCAACCTTACGCGAAACGACACCTATGCTCAGCTGTGAGTGGCGTTGAAACCTTTATCGTCCTGTGCACCCACCGGATATTCTCTCAGTCTGTCGGAGCTCATACCTCTGGCCGTCATCGGGTGGAGTAATCCAGATGGGATCATGTATGAGAGTCAGTCCAGTGTTATGCGCTCTTTCGGGCACGGCTGATCAATCTTGCAGGTGGTGGAAACCTCGGTAAAGGTAACTCGAAAGGACCCATCATTGTGCAGGAGCAACTGAAGGATAGAATACAGGCTATATGATAAGGAGTCTTCTGGAGGCGAGGCGTAGGAACCCTACAAACACAGCTATGATCAGTCTCATTGATGCCTTCATCACCGTTCAGGTACGTGACGGAGATGCCTCACGTTGAGATGAGATTACAACCAGCACTCCAGTTCAATGCCGTTCGTACCAACGCTAACTTGAGTAACAACAACTACAACAACTTCTGGGCAGGCAACTCCTCCCCCTCTTCGTCTTATGATCTCCTTGGAAGTATACAAGCCTTGGGCGTTTTCGATGCTGCATCTGAAATAGCACCACCGTGAGTCAAAACATGCTAGAATTAGTGGACAGGGAGCCTTCATACTTTTCCAGAAACTCGACCTCAAAACCTTCCACCAATGTAGGTGTCATCGTTGGTGCTGTCGTGGGCGGTGTCGCGGGAGTCACAACGTGCGCGCTGGTCGTGCTGGTCTGTTGCCGCTGGAGACGGAGTCGAAGACGGCCGATGAGCGACAACGGAACCGAGCTTCTGTCTCGTGCAAGATCGCACAGTGGGATCGAGCCTTACCTGTTGACGACTAGTGAGCGAACGCGTCGCCAAACGGGCTTGAAAGGGGGAACCTCGTACTCGCGGATGGAAGATTCAAGTGCGGCCGGCGGTATCGATACCATGGCGCCGAGCTCGTCCGAGGAACCCACTGCACCGGTTCAGAGTCCGGATGATATTTCCGGGCTTGCTAGGAGGATAAACCACTTGATCAATGTACTGGCCGTTCGCAATGAAGCGGAAGAGTTGCCTCCGGGTTACGAAGCTAGGGCGTCGAGGTCGAATGTAGCTTCTCGGTCGTCATAGGAGCCCCGATGACGACTTCTATGACTCCTATCGAGCGCAATATAGCAGTCTTCTTTCAGAGTCGGTGGACAGACATTGCCAGGTCGGACGAATGGCTGTGTATGCGCGTCATGGTGAGCTACTCGCCGTCTTACACCGAGGCGGTCTATGGCGCGCGCAATGGAACAGGAGCTGTCATAATTTTGCGTACGTCACTCCGTAAACGATGGTACATGGTTGTTCAAGGGTATGGTAGGCCGCAAAGTAAACCTTCCGACGAGGGCACGGTGAGAAGATGATGGTAAGAGGCAACAACCAATCCGCGCCGCGCCGTGCTCTTCGTCATGAACGGTCATGGCATTGGTCCATCACTCGCATGGGCTCAACCACCTCTATACGATATCTCATCCATCGATGATCTTTCCTGCCATCGTCCTTTGGAAGTCACCAGTGCCGCACGTCTTTCGCTCCGTGCGCAGTCGTGACGCTCCGCCAGTTTGACCGACATTCTCATTGGTGGTCCGCCTTAGTACAGAGGAAGAGGATATGATATAGCTTGTCGGACCAACGTAGTACTGGACTCTACTCGTGCGTACTTCGGATTGTCGCGATGCGTCGAGCGCATGCCAGGCTGTCACTGACTCGTGAACGTAGGGCGCGAAGGAAATATCTATTAGTCTGCATCCCAGCACCGCCACGCCCACAACCCGATCCAGCCTTTTGCTACGAAGAACCCATGTAGACAGGCTCCTACTCATGTGTAGAGCCGCTTAGCTCGATCAGCTCACGGCGCGCTGCTCCGTCCCGTCCTTATGCCCACGAGTGAGGTACTGGCGACAGCCTCTTCCGGTTTCTGCACTCGGTCGAAGATGGAGTGGAGATATCTCGTTTGCCTCGCGGACACCCGGCGCGATTAATATACAGCTCGGATAGTGTACAGTGCATTCTCTCCATGGTCACACGGCCGTGTCCGGAGGCCTTTCGGCGGGTTGAGCCCCGTCCTCGAAGATCACTACAACGACCTTCCTGATTACATGTTGGAGAATGGGACGTGCGATGGCCCTGGACCTATTGAATGGTGGTCCGTGGACGGAGGATGGATAAAGGTGCTCAGGTTATCCCAGGATCAATACGTACATAGTGTAGGTCACCCCACGCCCGGCCCTTATACTCTCACATCTCCGCCTAGCGCAGGACACAAGCCCCGTGCGATCATGGCTAGATGTGTGGATGTTGAGTGCGATCCACGCGCATCTGTCCTCGGTGACATTGGAAGACGTGTGGTCGGAAAGGACGCGGACCAGACCCGCCCTTGTCGCCCAAACTCAGAACACAACTTCACACTCGTACAGCTCCATCCTCCCCCTCTTTACACCTTCACGTTCTATCCAGTACCCGCTCTACGCTCTGAACGTAGGCAGTAAGCAGTGCGCTCAATCGGAATTCATCATGACATTTGTGCGGTGTCAAGTGATTGAGCGCTGATGCCAGCATCACAAACAGAGAAGGCGGCGTTCTGAATCTCAGAGAACCGCCAATCGGCAGCCCTGACGACCAATGCACCAGATCTTCTAGATTGTTGGCTGGCGCTATACATCAGAGATGTGCTGGTATGCTTTTCAATTCACTCTCGGAGTCGGGTCCGGTTACGCGTCTTGCGCGCCCGCGCCCCCTAACGCGCCCAACATGCATGTTTGAAGTCATATAAGAGCTTGAACAGAAACGTGTAAGCGGTTCCTTTTGCCCTCCTTCGTACCGCACCACCATCCAGCCCATGGGTGGCGCGTCCTTGTTCGCGCCTTCGTGTCTGCTTTCACTTTCATGGCTCTTTTCTGTCGTCGTTGCTCAGGACTTCACTCCACCTCAAAACTGGCAGGTGCGTGGCAAGCATTAATGGCTTATGCGCATGTCTAAAGGAATCGTGCCGTCTGACAGAACACGCAATCGCCTCTCACTCGATCTCAACGTCAGACGATTGCCTGGAGTACCGCGCAGAAGCTTCAGAGTCACATCGATTCATCCGGGAGCTTACCATCGGGTGCGTCATGCATATTCATCATCCTGTTCATTTTCTCATGCGTGATATGCAGGCACTTCGTTGACATCAACAACCACTGCCAACATCGCCATTGCCTTATCGAGCCAAGACCTGCTCAACGGTAACACGACCTGGAAAGGCCCAGTGACCCAGTTACTTTCTCATTCCGACACGGGACTGGTGCGTAGTGATCGATCGTATCTGCATGTCCTCTTTGCTGAAAGATGCTGTATAGAACTGGAATGTCGACTTATCGTGCGCTCTCCAGAACACCGTGGACTACACGCATCGTGGCTGAAGCGCATGCTCCGCAGATACTTCGGGCTCGCCGAACTCAGTGCTTACCTTGCATACAACGACACCACTCATCTCGACAATGCAGCTCGCAACTGGGACATTGCTTATACCGACTTTATAACGGCCGCAGCGGCTCAGAGCCATACCTACCCTCGAACTACCAACACGACGACTGATTGTGGATGTGAGCAATGCAATCCTTTCCGTATGGCTCGATAGACTGAACTCCCACACGATAGCAACGCTCGGCGGGTTGATCTTTGACGTGTGTCCCACCAGTCGTCCGTACATCGCTCACCGCTCATTTGCTTGAACAGGTTCACACAGACCCAGAACACAACCAGGGAGTCTCTACGTACACGATATCGTGCGTTTCCAGTCCACACTGAATCGAAATCGCGCTGATCAGTTGCCTTTCAGATCATGGATTGCGTGCGTATTATGATCAAAACTGGTGTGCTCCTCTAACTCCGGCCTCGCAGGTTCTCCTCTCGCCTAGCATCCCTTACGCAGAACACGACACATCTCGACGCCGCCAAGCTGTCCCTCCAGTTCGCTCAAACACATCTACTGAACCCCGGCAACGTTGCTGCGCCCATCAACGACTCGTGGAGTGTCAGCCGCTGTGTCTCAAGTAATGCGCCGGTGACTTGGGATCTTGGACCGTTCATCGAGGGTCTGAGCATCGTGGCGAATGTTACCCAGGATCCATCATATACGCAGATGTGAGTACTCGCTCAGAAGCTGCGGGTTCGATAGCATGCTAACAAGCTGTCACAGGTTATTCGATCTCATACCCAATGCCACTGTCGCTTTCACCAGCAATCAAGGGATCGTTACTGAGCGTACGTTCTCTAACTCCCGCTTCGGATACCGCATCTCACGTCCCTCTCAGAGAAGTCAGATTACCGCAAAGGTGTGCCATACATCGCCTTCCGAGACGAATCGACTGATGGGCGAGGTGGAAGGCACATTGATCCGTGGTCTACTGGAGGCGAAGCACAGAAACCCGTCGAATACCGCCATGGCTACTCTTATCGATGAGTATATCACCGTCCAGGTTAGCACCTATAGACTCTCCTTCCTGAAGACATGATTTGACATGCCCCGTGCCAGTTCAATGCCGTTCGCGCGAGCGCCATGATAGGCGATGATAACTACGCAACGTCTTGGATCGGTGACACAGATAGCTCAGCGTCGACGGACTACAATTACGCAGGAAGCATCGAAGCGCTGGATGTGTTCAACTCGGCGTTCGCCTTAGCACCGCCGTGCGTACACCCAACCGGACATGATCTTGATCTCACGCTGATGTCTTTGCAGGGGGACGCCCGTGCCATCCCGTCATTCATCTGTAGGCGCTATTGTCGGCGGCGTCGTCGGCGGCGTTGCTGGGGCTATCGTGATTGGTCTTGTCTTGTTCCTCTGGTTACGGCGTCGACGACGTGCGCGCGAAACACCGGTGCGCGAAGACAAGATCGAGCTCGATCCTACAGAGGCGCGAATGGTACCCGAGCCCTTCTTATCGACGCCATCTGCGTACACTCGTTCCCGTCTCATGTCAAAGGGTGGTTCATACTCCCAGGTTGACACGAGCAGTGTGGAAGGGAGCGTACAGTTGAATGCATTGCAGGGCGACCGTATACGGGGAGCCGAGAGCAACACGACGGGGACCGATGGCACTCATCCAGCTCTGTTCAACCTCGCGAGAAGATTAGATAACTTGATAGACGTGTTGGCTGTTCGGAACGAAGTAGACGATACGCCTCCAGAGTACGATGCGAGGCATCCTGGTTCCCACGCAGGTAATCACGTTTGACACCATCCCAATACCCTATTTAATCTACTCTACCACTTGGACCCATGATGCATTCATGTCGTTCTCACGTTATCTGTGGACGAGCTCGGAATATCCCTAGAGCGAGATGATATACATGCTGATATTGTGAAGGATTCGACCGCCCGACCAGATCACTTAACGGCAAAAAATCATGCAGCTGTCCGAATCCATATGCTCCCTGCAAGGCTCGAACTTGCGACCTCAGGATTACACGGTCAAGCCGACCGCTCACACGGGAAGTATGAGACCTGCGCTCTAGCCAACTGAGCCAAGGAAGCCACGGTCGAACTGTAATATTATTATTATACTGCGCAGCCATACCGTACAAGTCGCACGGCGGTCACATCAGTTTCTCCTTCATGTACAGCAGCAAAGTGTACACGAGTACCCAGCGCAACATTCCAAGTATGAATCGTCAGAGACGCTATGGTACATATGCACTTTACGATGGGAATACAAATCGTATTTCTGTCTATGCGCAAGAGTGGCCCACACGACGTCGCGACGAACAAGTATTATCCTATACTGCTCTGGTGTCCGTAAGATCAGCTCAAGAAATCAGTCTCGCCCTTGGCAATGAATGCGTCCAGACCCTCCACGATAGGCGTATCGCCTCCAACGATATCGATAGCAAGTCCGGCAGCATCGGGACGGTCCACGAGAACGCTCAGCGCCAAAGCCACGTCGTCACGCTGACAAGGGATCATTATCACGGGAATCTGGAGAGGGGAAGACAAGGTGCACGCACGGAGATTCGAGGTGGGAGGTGGGTCCGGCCGATAGAGGCTTTTCCGGTACCCGGCTCGTCGGACAATGTGCCTGGGCGAAGTATCGACCAATTGAATGCCGTGCGCTTGGAAAGGTTCTTGTCTGCCAGGTACTGCAACAAGATGTGTTGAATCCATGGATGCCACTGCCGGCCCGGCGGGAGTTCGCGTACCTTCATCTCCATATACTTGCCAATGGAACCCCAGATTCTCTTTGAGAACGCGATGTCTTCTTCATCCTGGTTGATACGTCAGCTATAAACCTGTGAAGGGCGTTGATAACGACGTACGTAGTGAGAAGGAACGATATCCAGGTTCCGTATGTCGAAGGCGCTGACCAAGACGAGACGGGGCCTATTCGTTTCGACCGCCTCTATCGCGTCGAACACCTTCAACGCGCCTTCGTAGTCAACCTTCACAGTACGCTCATGCCCACCCTTCCCGCCAGCGCCAGCGGAGAAGACCACGACATCCTTCCCAGTGAATGCCTGCTTGAACTCGGACACGGGAGAATCTTCGAGTGACAGAAGAAGAGGCTTAATTGCTGGCGAGGCAGCCTTGAGGTCGGCTATATGGTCCTTAGAGCGGATGATGGAGGTGACTGAATGTTTATTGCCGTCTGCAAGGAGCTTTCCCAGGCGAAGTGCGACCTGCAGTTCACTCCCGTGAGCTGATAGTGACTGTGGCGATCTGTTGAGATACGCACCTTGCCGTGGCCGCCCACGATGATAACTTGCTTTAGAGACATAATCCAAAAGAGTAGATGGTAGTCGAGTTTCAATCCTGCGCGACCGAAGTGCTGGCTACTGAAGTAGACCCGGGTGGGTGGTCGCCGAGCGACCCACACCGAGCGCGACCGGCATCGCGTCATCGGAAGCGCATGTCCTGCAAGCTCTTCAATTTTGGGCCGTACGTACGTAGCCGTCAGTCGGCGCGCATCTTATCCTCTGCACATCGAATGAGGGGAGTCGAGAATCATGTCATTGTCAGGGTGAGAAGCAAGTTCGAATTGGAGGTCTGTGGCGCAGCCATCAGCGCGACGTGATCGTGGCCCGCGCGCCTCTTGTCTTGAGGCAGCCACCATCGGGTAAATTGGACTAGTCAGGCTACGTCCTCGTGTCAACACAACTACCCTATGGATTCTGAACGTGCGATTGCGACGGCAAACGAAGCATTCGCGTCATACGAAGCCACTCAGGACCCGGCATTGCTCGACGATGCAATTGACACCATGCGGACAGCTATCGATTCGGGTCTCTCACCACCGCCTGCGAAACCTGAATGGGTTGTGAAGCTCGTTTCTATGCTGGAAGCACGCTTTCAGTGTCTTGGAGATCTTGCTGATCTTGAAGAGGGTATACAGCTTCAGCGTCGTGCCGTTGAACAGACGCCCGATGGCAGGCCAGACAAACCAACGGTGCTCAACAATCTTGCCGAATCCTTGCGTAGCCGCTACGACCATCTCGGAGACGTCGGCGATATCGAGGAAGCAATTTCTTACGGACGTCTTGCTGTGGCGTCTATGCCTGACGATCATAAGACCAAGCCGCTATTCCTGCACAACCTTGGCTGTTTCCTACAGCGTCGCTTCGATGACCTAGGAGAGCTAGATGACCTCGAAAGTGCTATATCTACTAAGCAACTTGCATCTCGGCTTATGACTGATGACCACCCGTATAGGCCTACCTTGCTCACGAGCCTTGGAGGGTCATTGTACAGCCGTTTCGATCGCCTGGGTCAGGTCAACGACCTCGAGAAAGCCGTTGAGCACGAACGTCTCGCCTTGACACTCATGCCAGACGATCACCCCGATAGATCAACGCTGCTGAGTAATATTGGGGACTCTCTGCGCACTCGCTTCAAGCGTCTGGGCCAGATCGACGACATCCACGAGGCCATCTCGCACGGACGCCTCGCTCTCAATCTGACGCCGGACGGTCATCCTGAGAGGCCTACACGTCTGACCAATCTCGGTTGTTCTCTACAAGCCCGTTTTGCGCGCTCTAACGATCTCGATGACTTACAGAGTGCCATCTCCCTTGAGGCCCGCGCAGTCGAGTTGACTGCTGACGGTGACGCAAACAAGCCCATCTTCCTCAACAACCTGGGCGGATCTTTATACGATCGCTTTGACCGCCTGGGTGACATTCAGGACCTCGAGGATGCAATCTCTCATGAACGACTTGCAACGAGCTTGACGTCTGATGACGACTCGGACAAGCCGATATACCTCAACAGCCTCAGCGGCTCTTTGCAACGTCGCTTCGACCACCTCGGTGATCTCGGTGATCTCGATGCTGCCATCACCGCTCAGCGCAATGCAGTTGATCTCACGCCTGACGAGCACCCAGACAAGCCAATGTGGCTGAATAACCTCGGCGGCTCATTGCAACGGCGTTTTGATCGCCTTGGTGACATCGCCGACCTCGACGACGCTGTCGAGGCCAACCGGCTCGCAGTTGATCTTGCACCCCATGGCCACCCCGATAAGGCGCTTTGGCTCAACAACCTCGGCGGTTCCCTGCATCGCCGCTTCGAGCGCACGAGCAGCCTCGATGACCTCGACGAGGCTATCGACGCCGAGTATCGCGCTCTTGATCTGGCGCCCGATGGTCAACCCACCAAAGCCTTATGGTTTCACAACCTCGGCATCTCTCTGCAGTGCCGCTTCGGCTGTACAGATGACCTCGATGATCTTGAAGGTGCTATATCCGCGAAGGAGCTCGCCGTAGAGCTCACGCCTGACGGACACGCGGATAAGGCGATGCGGCTCAGTAGCCTCGGTGGATCTCTACGCGTCAGTTTCGAGCGCTATGGGAAGCTCGGCGATTTGGACAAAGCTATCGCTATCCAACGATCGGCAATTGCGCGCACACCTCACGCGCATCCCGAGAGTCCTTTTCGGCTCTACAACCTCGCCATCACACTGCGTAGCCGCTTCGAACACAGTCACGAACGTGAACACTTCGAGGAAGCTATCGAGTCGTTCATGACGGCCACGACGCAATCACTCGGGACCCCCGCTATCCGCTTGAACTCTGCGGTAGAGTGCGTCAAACTACTATCTCAGCATACGGAGTTTACCTCTGCGGAGTCCATCTTACTCGCGCACTCGCGTATCCTGAATGTGCTCCCTGAGATTGTGTGGCTCGGCCACAGTATCAGTCGCCGATACGAGGAATCAGCTCGGCTCGGAGAACTGGTCAACGCAGCTGTGTCCGCGGCGATCCAGCATCGTGATCTGCCCAAGGCCGTTGAGTGGCTAGAGGCTGGCAGATCGCTCGTCTGGTCACAAATCCTGTCTCTACGTGCGCCCGCAGATGACCTCAAAGACCACCATCCTGATCTAGCCTCCGAGCTACGCGAAATTTCTCACGAGCTGCAGCAATCTGCGAACGCTCCCCACTTTGCACGAGACAAGCCTGAAGAGACTCGTCATCATGGGTCCGGGACGGCCAACAAGGCGGCGGAGCACCATCGAGAGTTGGTCAGGCGCTATGAGAGCGTTCTGGGGGAGATCCGCGCGTTTCCTGGGTTCGAGGACTTCTTGCGTCCGGCTAAGCTCGCCAGTCTCATGTCTTCGCTCGAACATGCAGATGGACCGGTGGTCTTCATCAATGTTCACTCTACATCTTGCGATGCTTTGTCGCTTGCTCCTGATGGCTCTATCGTCCACGTGCCTCTACCCCAGCTCAGCGAGAGTCGGGCTCATACCTTGCGCACTGCTTGGATGCGGAATCTCGAGCTTTGTCATACGAGAACGCGCGCTGCTATGGCTCCCGATATGGTTGGTCCCCGCGGGAGCACCAACATATTCGGTCGCGCTATGGGGCGCTTATGGACGTGGATGGTCTGTCCGATCTTGCAAGCGCTCGATCTAGTGAGCATTTCTTCATAGGCCATGCAGATACATCTCTAACGCTCGTCTTGGCAGATGGTTGAAGAAGAAATGACTACGAGCGCAGATCGTCTGCCGCACATCACCTGGTGCCCGACTGGCCCACTAACGCAGCTCCCTCTGCACGCCACAGGCCTATACGATGCCACCAAGCCGGACCAACCTCATCTGTTCGACTACGTCGTGTCATCATACACTCCATCCCTATCCGCGCTCATACATTGCCGGGGAACGTTCCATTCTCAAGCTTCGCGTCCGAGCGTATTGGTGGTCGCGCAACCGGCGACTCCGGGTCTATCTCGACTCCCCGGCACCAAGGTCGAGTGCAAGCGTTTGCGCGCTGTTCTGTCTGCGTCCACAAGCACATTCTTGGAGCAAACAGAGGGAACGGTGGAGAACAGTCTAGTTGCACTACGCAAGCACCCCTGGATACATCTCGCCTGCCATGGCTCGCAGAACACAGCCGATCCAACACAAAGCGCCTTCGCGCTGTACGACGGCCCTCTTACTCTATCCGCACTCATGAGCACAACGGCAGACAATGCCGAGCTCGCATTCCTCTCGGCATGTCAGACTGCCGTCGGAGATGAGAAAGTGCCCGAGGAGTCCGTGCATCTCGCGGCGGGGATGTTGGCTGTTGGGTTTAAGGGCGTTGTTGCGACTATGTGGTCTATTGGAGATGCGGATGCGCCCGTCGTTGTGGAGGCGTACTATAAGACGCTGCTCGAGCATCGGAACGCTGGTGAGGGTGTGGGAGAGGGAACGGGAGCGGCGTATGCGCTGCATGAGGCTGTCAAGGTTTTGCGGAGTCGCGTGGGGGAGAACAGTTTCGTGAGATGGGCGCCTTTCGTTCACTTCGGTATCTGAAACGCTTGGATGTCAACTGTACATGATGTTCCACAATATATTATAGCACTGATCCATTATCCCTATACACAAGTAGAATGCTCCAAGAAGCAGTCCGTAGGAATCAAAGCTCCAAGCGCGCCCGCCACCTGGTCAACCGTGATAGCCAGGGCAAGATACTCGCAGCACTACTGCTCTGCGCGCCACCCTCCACTGTCCCCGTACTCGTTGTATTCTGCACAGGCACGTTGAATGTCCATGCACCGCTCTTCACAGCGCCGAATGACAGAGAGCTCCCATCCGTACTGGCTCCGCCGTCCAGCACCATACTAGCCTGTGAAGCCGTTGTGTTGCCGAACACATCTGACAACGCGATACTGGCGTTCGCGTAGTTCAAATTCGAAGCAAGCACCAATGCGGAGCCTATATCGGATCGCGTCCACATGCCGACGTCTATGCGGCTGTCGGAGACGACGTGCGAGTATGTGGTGTTGGGGTGGAGGATGTAGGTCTTTGCCATGCTCGGCATTGCTTTTGCGAGTGCTGAAGCGGTGTCGGAGATTGAGGTGGAGGAAGAGTTGGTCGCTGCGGGTGTGGGCCAGTTCCATGAGACGATTCCGCGTGCGCCGGCGTTGATGGCGACGATGGATTGAACGAGGAACTCGTCTCCGGTGGGTGCACGGTACCAGAGTCTGTGAACAGAGAAGCATGTGAGCGCTAAGCGTAGACCATGGGAGTAAAGTATACTCACTCGGTACCACCAAACGCCTGAGGTACGCTCCAGACAGTCTTACTCCTCTCCCATCCCAGCACCTCCATCTTCTCCTTATGCCCCTCAATCCGATCCCTGATATCCTCGAACTGCCCCTTGCAGTTATCGCACCCACAACACCCCTGCTCGGGTGTGCAGACCGTCTCGTACTCGATACTCCAAGTGACATTGCCGCCGACGGGGTACGCGTCTTGCATTATGATATCTGCGCCCGCGGCATAGTCGGAGAAGTAGTAGTCTTGGCAGTTTAGGACGAGGGAGTTTGGTCGGTACGGGTCGAGGGATTGAAGGTGGTTGTAGGTTTTGAGGGGCGCGTCGAGGGCGTCGGATGTGCCGTCGGGCTCGTCGGCGGTGTAGTAGAGAAGGAGGTTTTGGAGGGAGCGGAGGGGTGCTGTTTCTGAGTCGACGGCGCTTAGGTTGGTATATGTCCTGGTGGTGTCTGTGAGTTCGAATATAGGAAGGCAATGACAGTTCAGCGTACCATCGCATATCATACATCAACCACAATCCTTTCTCCTCCATATCCTCGGCCAACTCTTGGAAAGCAGTCACATTGTCGAAGGGGGGTATAGGGTGAATCTGTGCGGCAGGTAATCAGCCTATGCGCCCAGTAGAACTCGTCGGGCTTATACATACCAGATTGAAGCCCAGAGAATCGATCAGCTTGACGGAGCTGTCGTTCTGTTCCAAGTAATCCCCCCAGTTGGTGTAGAAAGCAACTGGGAAGACGGGCTCGTAGTCGTCCGAGCTGTTACTCGACTTTGCCAACAACCCTCCAGTACGCAGATCACGCTTCGTGACACTACCGTACTGACTGGGATCGGGTGTGGGAAGGTATGTGAGGTTGGCCGACGCCGAAGTGAACGACTGCGAGGACAGAGTTGCAGAGCAGGAGAGCTGGTACGGTTGTGTGCGCGGAGCCAGCGACGACAGATCGAATGGCAACAGCGTAGTCCCGTTCAATCCCACGGTCCCGCTAGCTACCTCGTTGCCATCCACGCTAGCTTTCACGTTCAGAGTCGCGCTCGCCGGATCGCTGGGCAGGGATATTCCGGATGCATCGGAGTATTGCTCGTAGCGCACGAGCGCGTCGACGATGATGGCGGATATAGAAGTTCCGGCGTCGTCTGGCAAGAAAGGTTGGACGGCAGGAGAGCAGCGCAAAGCGAGCAGTGGTGTACTGGACGAGGCAGGGGCATTGAACTGGCCGCCCGGCGGTGTAATATCCGTCTCGTTTTTCAGATAAACCTTGCCGCACCAGGTCGGGCCCTGAGATGCCGCGGACACCAGAGGCGTGGCAGACAGCGCGAGCAGAGTGGGCAACATGACCGTCGGGATCGACGACGGGTTGCAGCAACGGTGCGGTGCTCGTTGGAGTCGCAGTCCCACCTGTTCGTTGCATCACGCGCCTCGTTCGAAACTGTTCATCTCCGAGCATCGTAGATCGCTGTCGTCAAGAGACTACGAGACCAGCGGCTCTGAATAGTAGTGACATACGCGCTCTGCGTCTCATTGTGACCGTCGAGGAAGAGGAAGAGGATGAGATAAGGAGGGAGTGAATGGAAAGCTTATCGGCCAGGGACGGCCCAGCCGATGACATTCTGACGTATACTCACTCTTTCTGCTTTAATGCCGGAATAGCTCAGCTGGGAGAGCAACAGACTGAAGTTCTGGAGGTCCCGTGTTCAATCCACGGTTCTGGCAATAAATGCAAAGTTGAAATCGTTTTTTCCCTTTCAAGTGCACCTCCCTGAGGCCAGCATGATCGGCATCAATCGTGATATTTGAGTATATTTCTGACAGTACCACTGTCATGTTCCAAAGTGCTGAGGAGATCCGATTGAGATCCGATAGTACAGGTCGATTTCGACGCGAGCAAAACAATGAAGCCCTAGAGATACATTGAGGAGTACATACAACAGAGTTCTACAGTCAACATGATACACTCAGATCAAATACAAAAGGTGAAATTTGAAGAGTAGAACAGAAGGGGCGGCATTCCGGAGCGCGCCATTGGTGATGGTGAAGAACGAGGGTGATTCGCGACCTGGCGTCGCGTTGGTAGTCTGCACACCACTGTCAGATGCTGGCACATCCGCTGCGAGGAGATATGAGGCTTACGAGGTTGATGTTACATATGATACACAGGTTGCGTCTACAAGCCAGGCAGGTGAAGATCAAACGATGATGCATCCACCACCGTTGGACGCCGTGCGCGTCTCAGAGTCGACGGGGACGTCGTTGGCAGGCTGAGAGCCTTGAGGCTCAGCGGTGGGCGCGAAGAGACCGAGGATGGTAGTGAAGGAGTCCATTGTGAGCTTTTTAGTCGAGCGAGATGGGTAGGTGTCGCGGGGTAGTATGAGCTCGACTGGGCTCTGAGGCTTGGGTGGCGCTGATGCTGGTGCTGGGATGTTGTCGTTGCGATGGAGCATACCTTTATATGCCTGTTCAAGAAGCTGCTTTGCATGTCGTGCTAGGTATCTCCGGTAGACGACAAAAGGCTCTGAAGGCCGCGTGCGGTAGGCAGTCACACAGAGGCACGACAGACGCGAAGCTCTTGAACCGGACAATTGGCAATACGAAGGCACGTCGTGCGCTCATGCGATACGTTCGCATATGGTAGCGACAGTACCTGTATCAAACAACAGCACGCAGAATTGGGTGGGTACGCTTCGAGACGAGGATGGGAAGCGCTTGAACCGCGGGAAAGCCGTTCCTAGCCCGCGTCTGCGAGACAATTGTGGCCCCCGACGGATGTACGGATCGAGGAGGGATGTGTGGGTCGAGGCGGGCTATGAGGATCAAGCGCTGGCATGGAGAGTAGGATTTGCCCCTTATGGTGGGCGAAGAGCGGGGAGAGGCTGGGTTGACGAAGAGAAGGACGGGCAGGACAAGAACGGGTCGGCTCTCTCGAGGATCGTCCGCCGGTGTTGCCTGTTTGAGCAAAGGCGCACAGCAAAGATAGTGCCTTAAGGTATTGTCGCGTTAGAGCACACAACGTGTAGGTGATACTTATAGATGGGGACTTCATGCGAGACATTGGGTAAGCTGCGGACCATGGTGTGATGATGGTGGTCAAGAGCAAGGCGCCTCAGCGTTACGCCTTGACAGGACTGTAACCGCGCGCGGTGCTGCTCGCTACTCTGCTCAAACTCTGCTGAGCGTGCACTATGCAATCCGCATGTTTCACCAGCGCACGCCTTCGACTCTCTACCGACCCCACACACATCCTAACTTGAATGGGTATGACTCCATGCGAGACGCTTCATTCAACGTAGGGTATGATGCGACAGCGACAAAAGCGAACAATCCTCCCGCGCGGTACGATGAATGCAGTGACCATTAAGTAACTCAAAAGAGAGTAACGGAGAGCGTAGGTAGTGAATGTCGATGGGTAGGAGGTAAACGAGAGACGAAATCTGTAGATGGTCGAGAAGAACCCTTTTGACACAACTGGGTAAAGCAACAATATCACACTGTCCAACCGGGCCCACGTACGTAGAACTAAGCGAAGACGTATCAAGAGCGTAACCTAATCCAATCCGATACCACCGTTTCTGTTGTTCGTGGCCAGCTTATGCGAGGAGCGAGATCGCGGCGCCGACGCCGAAGAGGCCGGCGGCAAGCGAGAAGAAGAGCGAAATGATGCCCTCCGAACGGCCAGAGGCAGCGCTGGTGTTGGAGGTGGAGCCCTCAGCGGTGGTCGATGCGCTGGCAGCCGAGCCGGAAGCGGAGCGCGAGGCAGCGGCGCTACCGCTGGAGCCTGCGGACGAGGCCTTGGCTGTACCCGACGCGGAGCCGGATGCCGAGCCAGAAGCCGAGGAACCAGCGGCAGAGCCAGTAGTCGACGCAGCGTTGGTAGCCGAAGCGAGCTCAGTGAACAGAGCCGAAGACGCGTACGTCTGGCAGTTGGAAGACGCGACGACGGTGGGCGTGTACGGGATGCTGGTGATCTCACCGAGCGACTCAGGGGGCTGCTCGTACGACTGGGTGGCGCCGCTGGCATCGACGTAGATGCCGGGAACGGTCATGAGGTCGGAATCGCAGATCTCGAACTCGCCGGCCTGGAAGCCTCCACCCGCGGTGTACTTGGACGGGCAGTTGTACAGGAGGCCGATACGGTCAAGAGTGTGCTGGCAGTAACCGGGGTTGTTCGAGCCGCTGGGGTTGCAGATCTTGATGCAGACTATGAACTGTAATTTAGACTTCGGCGCTTCTTCCGAAAGAGGGAGGACATACACTGGTTGGAGCCAATGAACTCGGTCCACCACAAGATTTGCTGGTAATCGCTGTTGAACGCAGTCGAGTACATCTGGCCACCGATGGGGTTGCCACGCTCGTCCTGACCTCCGGAGTCGAGCTCGCCTCCGTAGTCGGTAGACTGAATGTTGAGCTTGGACTGGTCAATGAGACCGGTGATCATCCAGTACTAAGAGCGTGCGCATCAACGTCAGTCAATGCCAAGTGATTGATGAATAGCGCGCGTACCTCGTTGGTCTTCAACAGCTGAGCGCCCTGGAGAGTGCCTGCGGACATGAGGTCGGCAACGTACACGTATCACAGAACGTTGAATACATACCCTCAACCATGATACGGGTGCCCCAGCCCTTCTTGGTGCACCATGCAACCTCCTCGCCCTCAGTGTCGGCGATAAGGCTGTTCTCCGCGGGCGGTGCCCAGAGGCAGAAGTCGTCGAGGCCGTTCAACCACTGGGTCTGACACATGCTGTCCTGGGTCTCCGTCGTGCTGTTGCAAATGTTGTAGCCAGACTGGGGACCGCGAACGTAGGGCGTGGAGTCGGGGTAAATCTGGTATGGCAGGTCCGTCGTCTTCGGGAACTTGAGCTGATTCAAAGGCGTCGCGGGGAACGTGAGCGTCTGCGCGGCCGCGAGGCCGGCAGCGCCGAGGACGACGAGAGCGGGGGCAGCCATGAAGTTGAAGAAAGGGAAAAGGGTGGGCGATCGGGCAAGGCAAGCCGCGTATAAGAGCCAAGCTGCTTTTGAGCGGCCGGACGGACTAGCGGGCGGAACACGCCGGCGCTTCCGCTTGTCAATAAACTCGCGTATGGTCCCGCGTGGTCCGACTTGATCGAGACGAAGGACCGCCTACTGACCGCCAGGAGAAGGCCGTGAAGCTTGGAAAGGTATCGAGCTCGGCAAAGGTGGTGCGTCGGTCGGTGGTGGTACAGTTGTTCCGTCTTCTAGAGGGTGCTGTATGTCAGACGATTTGTGCGGATGACCGGGAAGAAGGCTCGGCTGTGTAAGACATGCCTATATAGTATATTACGTTCATCAAGATACATGAAGCACGGGAACTCCGGACGAAGGTCGGGACATCTGGCGAAGATAACGAGCCAATATTCTCAAATCCTCAGTGGCGCTTTGCGGGTACGAGACCGTTTGCGTAGCGAACAGGAAAGATCGGAGGACTCGATGTACCCAGTCCTGCGACAAGCACAGACGAGCACCGGCAAAAGCACCCGCGGCTTCGCAGGTAACGGCCACCTCGCGCCGTCGTGTCTTCATCAACTCTCACAACGAGACCTTTACGCGCCACAGCCACTTCCAGGAGCGTCTCATGCTGCTGATCACCGCGGATGCCAATGCACATGGAAACAAGGACGACCGCCATCTGCGCGCGTTGTACGTCGACATGATGGGAGGAAGACGGTACTCAAAGCTCTCGGAAGAAGGGCCATCAACACGATGTGGGCGCCTGTTTCACCGCGAGGGGCGTGACTTTTACCGAATCAAGCTCCCGGCGCGTCGCGATGCGGAGCTGTGTACGTGATTAAGCACCTTGACCTCGACTACCACCATGCCCTCCAGAGTACGTTCTCCATCTATCGAGCTAGTGTACGACGGCACGGCGCAGGTGCGTGGTGGGACGTAGTCTGTGTCCTTAGCAGAATACCGACAAAGGTTCCAGAAGCCCGCCGCCGCTCCGGCTACGACCGCATCCGGATCTGCAGTGAGCACCGGCTCGGCAGGCTCGAAGCGCAAGTCAAGCGGTGGAGGTGAAGCGACATATGCAACGAAGCGCAAGAAGACCGCCAAGGAGAGCGATGTTTCCGCTGAGAAGAAAGACCCCGCCGAGCGCTGGAAATGGATCGACAGGACGCGACCCGAATTGTACGTCAATTGCCTGTCTTTCACCACCAAGTTGCGCTGATGGGGACGTCAAAGCGAGTTCAAAGGTACCAAGATCGAAGCGTTCAACTGTGGAGGCACCTTCTTCAAGTCGTCGGCTAAGGTTGGTGCTCAACTTCTCTGTGGACGTAAACGCCAGGACTAACGGGTGAGTAGACCGTAGCAGACCGTCTCGACAAGCTCGAGAGCTTCCTCGCCGAATGCGACGGCGACGAGACTGCTCACCCCACCTACGGCTACCCCGAACGCTTCAAGCCTAAGCGCGTCACTAAGAAGAAGGGCGAGCCTGCGGACGACCGTTGGCACTGGCTTGATCTGCGCCGCCCCGAGGTGTAAGTTGCCATTCACTTCCCATCTCAATGCTTCTGACAGACTGTTGCAGACGCTTCAAGGGTACCAAGATCGAGTGCTACAACTGCGGCGGCATCGTGTTCCGCGCGACGGGCAAGACGGTCGCCGACCGCCTCGATAAGCTCGAGCAGTTCTTCGCCGAGTGCAAGGGTGACGAGACGCGCCATCGCGACTACGGCAACTACTAAGCACCAACTCTCAAGTGTGCGCGCACGCATAGTCTCAATAATGTTTTTCCTAGGTCCGATACATCATCCTCCATTACACTGTGTTCTTGCTACAAGTATCCTTGACTTTATTGATTCCTTATATCGAGCTGTATAATCCGTCTCTATGCTTGGTGTACAAATTCTTGCCATGATATCCATACTCTTCTTACCCTCTACCTCGAACTTCTGTACCTCACATTCATGCGACAATCATCCGCTCATCGCGAGCTAGTACATACTGCTCATATTGAATTGTACATCTTGCGGCCGGGCGGGCATGCTCGCCACGGTCTACTTCCAAGGACATGGTCCATACGTGACGTGTATGCCCAATAGTCGTTGAGGGGTTCTAGAGAAGCAGCCAGACTTGCAGATCGTCGTCGCAGTCGGAGGTTGGTCGGAGGGGCCAAGGCGCTGGGTGTGGCGCGGTAAAAGTCTTGTGTGGGACTGAGACGCTTGTCGCCGCGTCTTCCTCCCAATCCGTCACCACTACGAGATGGCATCCATCAATGAAACTACCTACTCCCCAATCCAGCTTATATCTGGAGTTCCTCTCATGAAGCTATTGGCGTCTGATAGTGGACAATCGAGCTCTTTGGCCTCCTAGACGTGGTATTGGCGACCAGTTCAACAACACCCCTAGCAGCATGGTTGCGATGGCGTCCCCGACTCAGTCCATATCCGCACGGTGTCGGCAAACCCGCCTCCTATCGTAGCCTGCCAATCAGTATGCATAACTTCATGACAGCCTATCTCTACGATATATATTACGGCCTACGTCGGTTCACGCTCAGTTGCAGCTGCGTCGAGGATGTCCAGCCTCATCGGGAGACGCCAGACGCCAGACGCCAGACGGGGGACGCAACTCTGCATCATATGCTTCAATTAGGGTCCCTGCCGAAACTGGGACATCCGCATCGAACATGAAAACAGACCTGGGCGGCGCTCATAAATAGTCTTACCCTCTGCTTTAACGCCAAAGCGATCATCCGCCACCCTCCAGAAATGCTGAATACTACTCTGTCTGTGTCGTCCCATGGGATCGTTCGCTCACCGCTGCCTACCGTCGCCCGTCCCCGCGACTCGTTGTCAGTCCCGACCACACCTGTGTCTACACGAATGCGCTCTCTGCAATCCTCGACGCCTCCTTTATCCCCATCTCGACCCTCCACAGAGAGGCTAGTGGACCTATCCTTTGACGACCAGCGGATCACGTTGAACCGCTCAAACCGCGGGTCGAGTGCCTCCATCGCAAGCTTGGCGTCCGGAAAGCCCTACCTGGATTCTGAACTCGCAACACTCGTGGACGCTCCCCTCGCACCACTAGAGTTCTCCGTCGCTCAACTTCGCCGACGAAGGCTTGCTGCTCTGGCTAGTCCTGTCTTGTTGGAGGACAGCCTTTCGGACGGCAGGACCATGTCCGACATAGAATGTGACCAGACGCCGCCCGAGTTCTCACAGAGATACAGCGGCACGTCCGATTCGTTCATGCTGCTTGACGAGGACGATCCGCGCGTCACTGGCGTCCCGATCTTCCAAGGGATCGACGAGAAATGGAGAGAGAAGTCTAGGAAAGAGGCGGAGCACCTACCTCCATACAAGCGGGAAAGGGTCGTTCATGCACTGGAGATGCAGTTTGTTGTTGAATGTGCGTAACAACAACGTCGCATTGTTTCGTTTAACTGATCACCCTCGATAGCTACATTGATCCGTCATCGCTGCATCGAGACCCTAGGACAGGCGCTCATGAGTTACGGCTCTCCTGCTCATCGCCTGAGAGGCATTCTCGATTCCACCGCGCATGCGCTCGACGTTGACGTCGCTTTCAACATCAGGTCGGACGAGATCGAGCTCATTTTCCGCGGAAATAACGCTCAGACGACGTATACGAGCCTCGTCCGTGCCCTGCACAGCTCTCATCTATGCCTTAGCCGCCTCGACACCATACATTGCGTCTATCGCCGACTCGTTCGCACTCGAGAGCTTACGCCCCTGGAGGCCACGGAACTTCTTCGTCGCGAGATGCATGCTCCGCCATTGCTCGGCTTTTGGATGCAACTTTTCCTGTCATTCTTCCTCTCGTTTCTGCTGTCGAATCTGGCTTTTGGCGGCGCATTCGTGGACATGTTTGCTGCGGGGATCGGTGCTACGATTGTCTTCCTCTCCACCTATCTCGTGCGAGGGAGTGTTACCAAGCTTACGGTGGAGTATGATCTGTTAAATTGTCGATCATAGTTCGGCTGAGCTAACTATCACTCTCAGATTCGTCTCAGTTAGCATCGTATCCTGCCTCGCGGCTGTCATCAACAGCCTGACGGATAACATGGTGTGCTGGCATGCTGTTGCGTATTCCTCGATCATTGGTCGCTTGCAGGGTTATTCTGCCGGTGCGTGTCGCTCGCGTTAGGGGTGCCTCATGTTCTAACCTCTCGCATGTAGTGTTGGCTGTATTGGAGCTTGTTCTGGGACAGGCGGATTCGGGGGCGGTCAAACTCGTGACGGCGTTGATGAGCACCCTCGTTCTCAGCTTCGGTCTAGAAGTCGGCACCGACATCGTCTTCACGATCTACCCGCAATCGCCATTGAAAGCGGACTCTACGTCGCCGTCACACGTGATAGAGGGCTGTTACCGACCTCCCGGGTCCCCGTGGTTCTACACGCATTTCCCGTGGTACTTCATGTTCTTCACGGTCCCGCTCTTCGCTGTTGCTCGCAGCATCGCCAACAACCATCCCTGGCGCAAATGGCGCGACCTCATCGTTGCCATTCTCATCACCATATGCGCATATACCGTCAACAAGACCGCGAACCGCTTCCTTGTCGGTCAAACGGCCGTTCTGCCCAGTCTTGTCGGCGCGTTCACCGTCGGTTTCACCGGGAATCTGTATTCGCGGATCTTTCATGCGTCTGCGTTCACGGCGATGGTCTCGGGTGTTATGATGCTCGTTCCTGTACGTCGGACTTGATTCTGCATCATCCCGAGTTGGAAACTGATTTAAATCGTTGCAGTCTGGTTTGGGAGATCTGCATGCGTCTATGACATTCGATGATAGTCTGCAGGTGACCGGGGAAATGTTGAAGACTATCATTGGTATTTTGCTTGGGCTTTCTGCTGGTCACTGCGCTGTTCATTTTGGGAAGAGGGACCGTGCGGCGATGTTTTCCTTCTGATCTGGTCATATCGCTCTCTATCGTGGATGTATTTATTGGGCTTTTTATCACGCAATCATATTCACAATTCGCAGACTTGAAGCCTTGGTGGGTTGCATATACTCGGGGTTCACAAAAATGATGGAACACTCCACCGGAAACCGGGCCGCATTCCCACGGTAGGACGCTGCTCTACTTCACTTCAAGCGGCCCATATATGGCCCTCTAGGGCCCCTTCCATGTACCAGTCTTAACCTAGGATGCACTGGTACCGAATGGGTTGCACAATCCCGATCGCCGTCGCGCTCCGACACGCGAGTGTTCCATCATTTTTTTGTGAAACCCAAGTACACAAATGCTTCGGGGGTACGCAGTATCAACGCGTCCATATATCAGGAAGACGACTCGGGGTATCTTCACGAGTATGCGGTTGTATCCCGGGTATACAGTTGGATAGCACAACATAACTCTGAGGGTATATTGTCCAGCCGGGCTGAATCTGAACAACATTCGAAAAGCATGATCGGCAACATGACGATCCATCCACGATCCATCAAAACAAGTCGACATCGGTATAAACATCCAGTAAATTAAGCGGGGTCCGTCCAGTCCCTGAAGCAAATCCACATGGCCCCTCGAAAGCTACAGCAGCTTGCTCGACGCAGCGGGCGCGACGCGGCTGTGCACGAGCTTGTATATCCACAGCGGCGCGGCGCTGACTCCCACGATGACCGCGACTTTCCACAAGAACCGCGTGCTGAGCACGAACGCCAGATCTATACACCATCAAATCAGCTTCTCATCCTACACCCAGCATTTACGAGAAAGGCTCACCAAAGTACTCCGGCAACAAAAACATGCTCCCCGCATATATACACGCCGTCACAACAAGCGAGATGATCATCCACCGATGCCAGATGGTAACTTCGAGCGCGACCATGATGAGCTCGTTGAAGATGAGCGCCGAGAACGATATGGAGACCACGTTCAGGAACTCGGTCTCGAAGAGGGCGAGCGAGGCGAGCATTATGGCCGAGCCTTGGTACAGGCTGACGAAGAGCCACATGAAGAAGGTTTTGTAACTGAGTGCGCGGCCCTGTGTCGGTCGTTCGTGAGTATGCGTGCGGCGGGGACAGTGGTGAGGAGGGAAAACACGGACCTTGGTGAGCTCCTTGTATAGTTCCGGATACCCCAACGCGACATCCTCGCTCACATCCCTATCCAGCACCAACGAGAACACCGGCGCCATAGTATACACCGTCGCATACCCGACCATCAGCCACCCCTGATACAGCGCGATCGGCGCAAAGTAGAATATGCTGCTGAAAACGGCCTGCATGACGCTGATGATCAGCCCGCGATGGATGACGAACTGCGCGAGCTTCGCGGAGCGCCGGTACGAGTTGCGGCCGTGCCAGAGGAGGAGCTTGGTGAGGTGCGAGAACTGGGTGAGGGAGAAGTCCGCGGCGAGGGAGGCTTGTTTGCCTTCTTTTCCGACGATGCCGATGCCGACGTCTGCGGCTTGGATCATCGATACCTATAGGGTGTTGGCATTAAAGGGGAGGGAGAGGGAGCGTGGGAAAGAGGGAAGACGCACGTCGTTCCCGCCATCACCGATACACGCCACGCGCGCCTTTGTATGCGCCCGTATAGCCCTCGCAACGTCCGCTTTCTGCGTCGGTGAACACCTGCACGCTACCTATGAGCCACACGTCAGCCTCAATACATCTCACGTATCCGCATATGGTGAGACACGTACGACGGCGGGCAGTTTGGTCGTGATGGCGATGAACTCGGTGAGGAAGAGCTCCATGCAGAGCTATCATGTTGTCAGCACAAAGGATCTGAAGGGAAAGTGTGGAATTAAGACACACCTGCAGGCTTTCGCCATCGATGACAAGCGTACAGTCCGTCTTGCTCTGCAAAAAGTCAAGCTCGCGCCGCACGTCGTCCGCGTCTTTCACTGCGTTCCCACGCTCGTCAGTCTCCGCATCAAGGCATCAGACATAGGGTGAGGGACCGCGTACGCTTGACGACCTGCCGCACCCACCCCCCTCTCCTAACGAGGCGCGTACTGTTCGCGATAACAGTCGCGGTCTCGACTTTGTCGCCCGTGAGCATCCATACGCGGATACCGGCGTTGCGCAGGGATTCGATCGTGCCGCTGCACAGTGCGCGTCAGCTTGTTCCTTCTGGCATTCGGAAAGGACGGGATGGAAGTGTACATGGGAAGAAGGGGAAGGGATGAGGAGATAGAACGCACCGAACCCCATCCTGCAGCTTATCCTCCACACCCGTCAACCCCAGCAGCTCCAGATCCCGCTCGAGATACTGCGCCACGACGCCCGCCATCTTCTCGCTCCTTGCTTCCGTGCTCACGCTCGCCTGCCACCCCCACACTCGATCAGCACTCCCTCATCAACACAGGACAGGGAAGGTACGCACCGCGCGATACGCCTCCTCGAAAGCGCCATACTCGCCCCTCCCCATCCTCCTCCGCCCCACAACGAGCGTCCGCAGCCCCTCGCGCGCGAAGTTCGCACATTCCTCGTCGAGCCAGTCGTTCCGGCCCACGATCTTCGCCATGACGGCGTCCGCGCCTTTCTGGAAGAACAGCACCTCGCCCTGGCCCTCCTCCTCTCTGCCCTTCCCTTGCGTCTTTTCTGAGCCCCAATCGGCGGTGTCGTCGATTAGGGATGCGGTGGATGTTTGCGGTGGTTGGTGTGAGGAAGGGTTATGGAAAGGGGGGGAGGTGGTGGAGCGGACGACGATGCCCATGCGTTTGGACTCGGATGTGAAGGGGAAGACGTGCAGGATGGCGTAGTGCAGTGTGTGGCCGGATGAGGTCGTTAGGGTCATCGAAGTGCGGTCGCGGTGGGTGAGTGTTAGGCCTGGTGG